TATATATCTATATCTATATAGATATATATACACACATATAAATAAAAAGGTGGGGAAAAAAGTAATTTTTTTCTGACCTGACAAATTCTGCTGCGGGTGGGGCATTGCAGTGCCATTCATTTCAAAGGTACACCAAACCCACCTCCCACCCAGTCTGTTAGCCCGCACTAAAACACACGTTACCACGATGCAGTGCGTTCCAGTGCAGTGAGATTGCAAAAAAATTGTGCGTGCAGTTTTATTCTGAAGTAAACTTTATGTTTGTAACACTGCATTTGTGAATTTTATTTTCTAAATTAAGGATGGTATTTCACGTTTTTCATCCGATTAACCGATAAATTGCCCAACTAATCGATTCTGAAAATAATCATTAGTTGCAGCCCTAGCTGACAATTAAAGGTGTGAAGAATCACTCGGCTGCTCTTCCTACTGCTACACCACACCTCCTGATAACACCATTATTATAATCCAGAAATGAGAAGAGGATAGATAGATTACATTTGTTATCAAGACATGCCATGTAAAGGACTATCTTGTTATACACTGAGTGGCCAGATTATTATGACCACCTGACGTTGGTAGGCAAATTAGCTATAATTTCGCGCTGAAGTTGCTAGAGGGCCAGACCATTATAAATAGGGAAGCAGGTTGTTTACCACGACAGTAGAAGTGATTTTTTTTATGAAGATATGGGTAAACAACGCGATTTAACAGCCTTTGAACGTGGGAGGATTGTTGGCGCTCGGAGCCATGGAGCGAGTATCAGCAAAACAGCAGAGTTCGTTAAATGTTCAAGAGCAGCTGTTAAAGTGTTTAAAGACTGGACTGTCAGCCGAAAATCTGGGTCTGAACGTGCGAATTGTGGCCGTCAGCGACTAGTCAATGTTAGGGCAGAACGGAGAATGGCAAGACTGGTACAAGACAACAGAAGGGCAACAGTGCAGTGTCAGATTCCTCGCATCACCTTTCATCATCTCGTGGAGTCACGAGGCGGCCCAACAGAGTCATCTCGTGGCCCAACGAAGTACTGATGGGGTGGACACAATAATCTGGCCACTCAATGTATAGACATATAGAATAGAAGTTACATCACAGTGTATAGAATGGAAGTGACATCACAGGTCACATTAGAGAGGAAGCAGTTGAGTGGCGTGACAATTTTTTAATTCAGAACATACATACATCTTATTCTAAAGTAAACATAAAATCACAGGACAATCAGACTTACCTACTACAGCCAAGATAAGTGTATTTGTGAAGTGTCTGTAAAGAGACAGCTTGACCACATTCCTTCGTAGTCTCAGCAGCTTCATGGTCTGTGTCAGGCTTATGAAGATGTGCAGGGTGGTTAAGGAAAATGCAGGACTGCTGAAATCTTAAGGATCATATATTCTACTAAAAGAAACAATATAATCTACTAAAAGTTGTAATCTTGTTAGGAACTCCAAGATATCATCTATTAAATGTACACACACTAACTAATACAGCGCACTTGTTTGATAATCTCACCATAGAAAAAAGTTATACTCAACACAAAAATAAATTAATTAAATAGGCTGTCGGGGGGGAATCAAAACTTATGCAGTTATATAAAGTGCTCGCAACTAAAGGTGACTGCACTTTCTTTTCTTCAAAACCTTGTTGTCAAGACCAAATATCAGCTGGGTTTCATTTTTATTGGATGATGAAGCTTAGACAATGCCAACTGCTAGTAGGTATCAACTGTGTTTTCAAACAGCTGTCCAAGGAGTAGATTCTTCAATGCATGACTCTGACCTCCTGAACAAGATTGAAGGCGCCAGTGTATGGTTCAACTGCTTTTAAAATTTCCTGATAAACCACCAGATGAAATCAAACAGCTGGAATGTACTATGAAGCTGTAAGGCCTCGTTCACACCTGACCATTTTGCACTCGACGAACGCTCTACAAAACGGTCAAAAATATAAAATTGCATTGTAGTCAATGCCCTCGTTCCCACCTTGCCGTATTTCCGCCCGTCCCTAACGCCCTACAAAACGGCCCACGCCTGAAAAGGTCCCAGGACTACTTTGGGCCGTTTTGTAGGGCGTTTTCCATTGGGATACAGCCAAGTAGCCTTTGGAATCGCACGACTTTTTTTTACCGCAAATCGCGGTAAAAAACGCGCAACAGACACGCATATTACAGTATGCCTAGGTGTGAATGGGGCCTTAGACAACCATTTATGTACGTTTATGCACTCATGGGGCAGTGAATGGCTGCTATAATCAGAGTATTTTTTATACAGGATTTTTTATTTTGTTAACAAAATCCCTTACAAATTGACAGCCTTATTTAAAGGGCAAAGTGCAATGATCTGAACACCCAATCAGAATAGTTTTTACTCTTGCTTTTAGTATAAAAAGTAACTGGTTTGGTAAAATTACTGCACTTTGCACTTCACTTGGCGAGTACGGCTGTAAATGTAAAGTCCAGACAGGCAAAGTAACATGGGTAGACACAACGAAAGTAGTCAAGGAAGGATATCCACCAGCATAAAGCAGTGTCAAGAAAAGCCAGAGGAATAAAAGCCAGGGAGGCGAGATCAGACTGTGCCTATACCAGGAATGGAGCAAAGAAAGGACAAGGAAGAGACATGAGAGAAGAGACAACTATTCCAAGATTCAGACAATAACGTACAGCATGCCTTTAGGCCTCATTTTCACAGGGCATTATGGGATTCCTACGGCAAAGAACCTATGGACTCCTGCAGCAGGAATCCCAGTTGTTTCCTTTAGATGCGGCCGCTGTACCCACTGAATTAAATGCCAGGGTGACAGTGGCTGCAACTGTCAGCAGCAGTCTGCGTGTAATCATACATGGCACAATTACCTGCAATTTAGGATAGATGACTGTGGCTGGATGCAGGATCGATGCGTTCAGACATAATCATCTATTCCAAATCACATGTAATTGTATGATTACATGCAGACTGCCACCCTGTATCTGCCTCAGCAATCCCATAAGTCCCTGTATGAACAGAGGCTTGGGATGTGGAATACACCCTGGGTTATATCCATTTCTACATGGCTAGGACTAACCGCATCAATACCCAAAACCCACCAAATCCTAGCTAAACAGAATCTCATCTAAGACCAAAACACATTTCATAAGACACTTCAAAGTAAATTAACAAGTCCAGTAAATAGAACAGAACTGAAAAATATTAGAAAATGTATTGCCAAGAAGTAGCTGGAGACCCAAAAAATGTTTTGATGTCTTATGAGAACACTTGCCTTACCTTAAGGTAAAACTCCAGCCAAACCTTTTTCCCTATTAGACTGAGTAAAACTTCAGTCAGGTTTTTGAAAATAAATACCAATAGCACCAGAGATGACCACTCCACTGAAGAGATATACATGCAGAAGTTCTACAGGCCGCTGCCCCACATCAGTCAGGGAAACTGTGATATCTAATGAAAAAAACAAAAACAAGGGGCGCCTTCCCTAGTGTAGATACATTTTTTTAAACAAATGGCTAAAGTAGAATAATACTCACAAAAGTGTAGATAACATTGAGCCTTCAAAATCAAAGGTTGATCCTCATTTTAGCAAAACGCAAGACACAGCATGTGACAGCTGCACAGATGGCGGTTCCTGTGTGACAGCACAGTATGCCTAGGTTAGGTTTCCTCATTGTACTGTCCTAAACAGGGAAACAGAGCCTAGGCATACTGTGCTGTCACACAGGAACCGCCATCTGTGCAGCTCTCACATGCTGTGTCTTGCTTTTTGCTAAAATGAGGATCAACCTTGGATTTTGAAGGCTCAATGTTATCTACTCTTTTGTGAGTATTACTCTACTTTAGACATTTGTTTAATAAACATGTATCTACACTAGGGAAGGCGCCCCTTGTTTTTTCATCAGGTTTTTCATAATGTCCTTCTCCTCTGGGGGGGGATTCCCTTCAATTCTTGTCCAGGTGATGGAGAATTCTTCAGTGGAGACACACAAAGCAATAAAAACACTGCCTTGAGTAACACTTTAAGACCTTTGGGAGTAATAGTGCATCTGTGCCCCTCCACAACCACTGAGCTTTAGCATAACGAAGATAAATAAGTGTCCACACAAAGGTCCTATTTTTATTTCTGATACGGAAATATATCTTCACTATTAAAAATGCTGATGGCGCTCTCCTTTATAAAGAAACAATAAATGCAGTGCATGTACATAACCGGTATATGACAAAAACAAAAAGGTGATAAGCGAATGATTACCCACGATCTACATGTTTGTAATACCCTTAGAGATCATAGTCACAAGGGTTAATAAGCTTCTCCTTTCCACTTCACTTCATAAGAATACTGTTCACTTTTGGGGAAGTTCCCTGAGATTAGGCCCATATATATGACTAGTCCTTCTGTGAAACCTAGTACGAGGTGTTACTGTAGATATCTACTCAGTTAAAGGAACATCTAAAGAAAAACTATTACCAACAACCAGCTTGGTGCAACACAACTGATTTAAAGGTAGACCTGAGCTAGTGAAGTGAAGCTTTGCTATGTCATAACAATAATTTACAAAGGTTTATTGTGCCTAAAGCTGGGTACACACACTGCATTGGTGACCCTATTCTTCCAGCAGAAGTAGATCATTCGAAAATATGGAAAAATATTCAGCCGTGCGCATTGCTCAGCGTGAATGGAGGCAATTTTTTCGTTCAGCCTACGGGCTGAACAAAATATTCTCCTGTATACACTTAAACAGTACCTTGAAAATGTTACTTTTGTCTTGCATATCTCTTACAAAAACAGCAGTGCACTCCTTGTATGCAAGTGTTCCTAGACACTCTTGTGCCTAAAGCCTAATAGCTATATATATCTTTAGTGTGAGATCTAATACACTGTTGTCTTTGGCTGCTAGTCCTGTGAGATTTGGTGATGTCACTACTACACTGCTCACTGGTCTTGATGCTAAAGGCTGACATGAGGAAGCAAAACCCCACCCCTACGAAGATAGTTGCCTCCACACAGTATTGTAAGTCAATAATGGAGAAAGATCAGCTGCAGGGAGTCCACAAGCAGTACTGGTGACTAGTCCTTTGCCCCTTGACTCCCTTTTTTTTTTTTTAGGAACACCTTCACCAGCTATTACAGGTTAAACTATTGTGAACTATCAATAGTTGGTCAACTATTGTGAAGTGTGTAATTACCAATCAGAATATCAAACTATCAGTATCTATTCATATGCACTTCTAGGCATTTGGAAAAACCCTTAAAACTGTAAGAAAAAGTTGCCTTTTACCATATAAAAATTGTTTTATCCAGCGGTCATGTGACTGCAAGAGCTCCCTCACCATCCCTCTTCTGCACAGCACTGACTGAGCAGGGCTGGGCAGGAGGCATGTCAACCTAGCTAGGGGGCACCAGGCCGCAGCAATGACTGAGGGGCATCAGCCAGGCTGACAACAGATGGTATTGGCACACTGTACATCCAAGCAGAATGGCATACTGTAGGTCCGATAAGCAGCTAAAGCAACACGATCTGACCATGCCAAGCATGGATCTGCTTCCATGCTTAACGTACTTAGAAACCTATAGCGAAGCAAGAGGACTGTCAGGATCGCCAGGTACAAAGTACAAGTTCCTATTCAGTGTATAAGAAAAATGAACTAGTATGTGGCCCCTAGGGACTATAACCCTTAATAGACTTTGAAAAGAGGATTTTACTGTGAGCTCAAAAATCTTATTTTCTCTATCATCCATTGAGGGACACAGCCTCCAATAAGTAAACAATAAGCCAACAAAGTACCTTATGAACGGCATCTGCGGAAGCAAAGACATCCACTTTTTTAAATGTAGAAAACGTATATGTACAGAGGACCATGTCACAGCCTTACAAAGCTAGGACACAGAAGCTTGATGATTTAAAACCCAAGCCCTTGCGATCAGGAGGAGCTACAAGTTGCACTACCAGGGACATAAACCACATCATAACAGGTGAAAACACCACTGCTGTGAGGAAAAAAAAAAAGAAAGAGGAATGAGTACCCCAGGATGACAGAGTGGGCTCAGGAATTAACCCGGACACGAGTGCCTCAAACACATGAAGTACCATGGGAAAAGGAAAGAAACCCTGTGAGCAAGCAGACTCTCATTCTCCTAAGAACACTAAACAAAGCTGAGCATGATTGGCGTGGAGGGGTAATAGTCCCTGGGGATGGCCTCCAGATTTTTAAGTGTCAAGTGTCCCTTTCACTTGCAGAGGACAGTATAACCCTAGGTTGCTTAAAGAAGATGCATCCCTCAATGGATAACAATGAAAGGTCAACTCTTTGCTTTAGATTAATTTTAGTTCATGCATTCACACCCATTTAACCTGCAATATGCATGTATTTCATCACCCAGGTCATTTCTTTCTATGATGTATGCAGGTGAACCCAGCAATCTCCAAAGTGCCAGCATGTACAGATACATAAGACAGTTCTTTCTAGGATGTTATATATGAGCAATAAGCCCAGGAGCCAGAAATGAAGTCACTATAAAGTTTGAGACCGAGTGCTTATAATATATATCAAGAACACAAATTCATGCATTAACAACACAAGGGATGACCAATACATTAGCCTTGTACACTACTCAAATTTTATGGGAAGCCATAAAAATGACTGTCATTAGAAAGCTTTGCACAACACCTTTGCTCTTGGCCTCGGCCTCCAAAAAGCAAGCCATTTGGTACTTTATTCTCTTGAACACATTAGCCTGAAAGCCCATCTGACAGTGGGAAAAAAAAATTAATGGATGCTAAAATGAGAGTGGAGATACAACAGGCCCATGAGAATACATGGCAGCTAAAAGGATATCCAAAAGAGAATGCAGGCATCAATCAATGACAGAGCCAGATGTGCTATCAATGCTACGGTACTGAAGTAATGCTAGAGCAGAGATCGAGAGAGCACATGGTATTAATGTCATGGGGACAAGTAAATGTTAGTGATGAGCAAGTATGACAAAGCATGCTGCACAGATTACACAACACCAACTAAACAAATTATCTTACAAAAATAAGACCGTAGGGCTTCTTTCTGAAGGAAACACATTGGTATAACACACAAGTAGCAGAAGCTCAACTTAACATAAAGCAGAAATGTACCCAAATTAAATGCAGTGTTATGAATTAAAGACTAGGCTCCGTCTTCAACCAGATCTTTAAGGCTGGCTCCACGTTGCCGTATAGTACTGTGATGCATTATGGTGCCATTCATTTATATAAATGAATTATATATTATGAATTATATAAATGTAACACAGATACCATGCATTGTGAGGCGCTGAATTGCAGTTATTATGAATGACCCCCATATTCCTATGTATAACTACTATGGGGAAACACAGTTGCGTTGTGGTTAATTTGTAACCCCTGTGTTCAATGACTACCAGAGATGGTAAGTGTATGAAGTTTGTATGTTTCTCCAAACAAAAATAAACAAATATATAACTGTGTGTATGACTTAGTTGGGGACATTAGTTTATAATCTTTAAGTGCAGAGACTTGTGTGAATAGTTCTAATACTGCTGGAATAGTTTATTTATGCCTGTACCACATCACTGGTGTCCGGCCCGAGGCCCACCCCCTCACCCAATCATGGGCTTAGTTGTAGAGATTCTCTACAATTAAGCCCATGATTGGTTAAAACAGGTCAGAGGGTGTGGGACACCAGTGATGTGGTACAGGCTTCAATAAACTATCCCAGCAGAGTCCGATGTGTGGTCCGCTTCTGTTTGAGGCTAGGTTCACATCTAGCCGACACCTCACCGTGCGACAAACGTGCACGATGCCGCGCAGTCAGGAGTTGCCAAGGTGTGAACCAATCGCGCTGTGGGTGCCATTATTTTCTAATGGCGCCCCAGTCACGCTGGGCGGATCGCACGGTTTCCCACCACAATTCCGCCCGTGTAAAACAGCCGCGCATCGTGTATCGCAAAAAAAAAGAAAGAAGAGGTACTTGAACCTTTTTTCTGCAGTTGCCGTGCGGATGTCACCCAAATCAATGGGACCGCGGGGCAATCGCTGCCTGCATTGTGCAGGACCGCACGATCCCAGGACGCGCGTCCCGGGTATCGTGCAGGTGTGTAGCCTGAATGTGCTGGCGGTCAGAATACAATGCAAACAGCAGGATTCCTCAATTGATACACTGTTAAGTGCTGATTGAGTAATCTGCTCTACTTTCCTCTTTCAGCCTGCAGTTTGAACGCGAAAAATAGTGCAGTGTATGGCCAGCCCAAGACAGCCTCACCGATCTACGAACAAGTCGGCTCGCAATGATCGGGTGAGTACAACTTGTTTTTTTTAGCACCTAGACACAAATGTGCAGTCAACCTTTGCAGTGCGGGGTAGCCCCACATTTTAATGTGCTAGGAGTATGCATGTTTAAACATTTTCCAGGGAGCAAGGATGGCGGCATGCAGTACTTTTCACCCCTATAGAACATATAATTGCTGGGAACTGCTGCTTTAAAAAGAAAACACACAGACAAAAAAAAAAAAGTTTAAGAGAGAACTGCAGCACTTCACTCTGTGTTGTTTCAGATCAATGCAAGATGAAGGAAAGCAAGTCTAAGGCTCAGACCTGTAAATGGTAAGTGAGCACACTAAAGTTTATTGTTGCTCCAACATTGCTCAAAAGCCCTTATTTTGCAAGGCTAAAAAAAAAAAATGCAGACACTTCAATCTTTGCTAACGAATTCAGTGTTTCACCTGCAATTCCCCTTTAAACATCTGGTGGTGGGCACTTCACCCATGTCTACTGACATGCCAGTATAGTTCTGCCAAGGGCAGAAAACTGGATCAACTCTGTTTCGCATAGCACACATATCTTGCACCAGCATGCTTAAATTTAATTTTATTTCAGCCATTGGTAAAAAGCACAAGGATAAAAAAAAAGTGGCCAAGATGCAAGCAACTGTTGAAGAGCTTATTAGACATCCTTAAGCATGATTTTCATAAATGAAAACACAGAGGGGGGAATTTATCAAAACTGGAGCAGACGTAATCTGGAGCAGTTGCCTATGGCAAACAATCAGCTTCTCTCTTCAGTCTGTTCAGTTAAGCTTTGAAAATGAAAGGTGGATGCTGATTGGTTGCCATGCACAGCTGCTCCAGATTTTTGTCTGGGCTAGTTTTGATAAATACCTCTCAGACTAGTCTTAAAACTACAGACATTCAGAGAAGTATATGCTCTCAGTTTCAAGTTTACACATTACTTTACTGAAGTTCTCACACTTACCCCTGAGACCCTCAGCACACCTTCCACACCAGAGAAGAGGAGATAAAGAGCTCCAGCCATGACAACCTTATGCAGTGTGGCACCTAGACGGGGTCTGTGATTGATATTTAAAGAATTGCATTGTAAGTATTTCGTCTGAAGCAAAATTGTTGTAGTGTTTATTTCTTCAGATTTTCTTTCATACACTCAATTTGCAAATATATACACATTTGAGGAAATTACAGCTTTACAAAGAAAAAATAAACTAACATGCAGAATGACAATGGAAACCAAATGCAAGTCTAATTTCACCAAAATGACCTTACACATTAACAAACCCACACGTGCCAAGAGTCTGTGTCGATGGGCTTTGCCCTGCATGTCACAATGCTACCAGTATGAGTCTCCTCTTAAAAATGATTCAGAATTCACCTACAGTGTACCTGACCTGCAGAGGACACCTACTTACCTGCTTCCTACCCTCTCGGTTAGCTAGAGAGACTGCCAGGATTTATTAATATCCGGTATGAATCTACTAGCAGCTCTTGGAAGTATAATCTTTAATGAAAAAACTAAATGACTAAATTAATAAACCAGAAGAGAGGGAGACATCCATTCTCCTGAGGACACGAAGTAAAACTGGCAGGTGTGAGGTGGGAGGGGTTATAGGTTTAAAGTGGCAGGCTTTAATTTTTTTTGCCTGGTGTCCATTTATCCTAGAGACATATACAATATATATTATACAGAGAGAGAGAGAGAGATAGCAAAGAGCCATAACAAGCTGTCATGACCAAAACCATGGTTAGTGCTATTTTTAATGGGTTAAATAAAAAATAAAATGGAGACAGGAACATCTGATAGACACTCACTTGACTATGCCATAACCCAGGCTGACTATGATGACAAGTATCCGTGCCAAGGATCTCTTCACAGCTGACAGCAACTCTCCCAGGATTACAGCTCCCTGCACTACCAGATACAGAAAAAGAAACAATGTAAATTTCAAACTTTATGTTCTTATATGTTATTTTAGTTACAAGATAAAGTAATAAATCGAAGATTAAAAAAAAAACTGCATAAAATCCTCTAATTTGTGAATGTTCTCCTATGGGCTTTAACTACCTTACGTCCATGGCCGTTTGTGTGGTTAAAAAAAAAATAAAATAAAAAAGAAGGATTCTGCCTCTACTTAGTTGTCTTAGGATGTCAGGAAACCTGAAATCGCCCAACTCTGTCTACAGATTTTTCAGATTTGCTCTCATAATATGGGGTCAGACCCTGAAAATAACCCAGACCAAGTTAGGCCAGAGTCTGTTAGAATTTTGTCTGATTTAGAAGAATCAGCTGAAATTCTTACAGTGGGTGGCTGTGCTGGCTCGCCAAAAGCTGGGCTGAAACTTGTCGGCCAATCAGTTGCAGACATTGCCTGCTCCAGCTGCGCAAGTTTCAATGATCCTAAATTCACACTTTGCTCCAGGTATGCCAGCTCAGGGCTGACATTTATGCTGTGGAAAGGAGGGGGAAGTGTCATGCCCCCCCCCCCCCCCCCCAACCCCCAACGACCCCAACCCAAACCCCTACCTACACCAACCCAAACCC